CAACCCTAACCGACTAGCTAAAGGATCAGCTTCCATGCAAGTAAGAGAAGCAGTCATCAACAACTGTCCAGTCCGCATAGTTGTGGAGTGATCATTGAACCCGGCATGTTGAGTATCTACGCACTCTAATCTATTTAATATGCGAACGGGAACAGATTGTAATCTACGCAAATCAAATCAGAATCAAGCAATTTGGTATGATTTTCAACGATTGACCACAACACAATTAAATTACGACGACCAACAACGGCTATTTCCGTCTGCGCCTTAACCAAAGTAGTGGCCCACCGAGTGCATGCTTGAGCCACTCCCTCGGCCAGACAGCCTAGAAATCACACAATTACATTAGTGATGGAGTGCTGGTGTGCTGGGGTGAATGTGCATGTGGAGGTATCGTAACAAGACTGTTAACGGCTAACCATTTGGCGAGCATCAAAAAAGGCTTTTTCCCTCTCAACAGACGTAATGAACGCTGAACGTCGGATAACAACGAGCTTGCAAAAGTGAATGACATAAACGGGAGCTCAAAAACTTGAATCAAAAGAAAAATAAGTATTAAACGAAGAACTATAAAACAGAGGCATTGCGTTCTAAATATATAAATATACAATAAAACAAAGGATTTGCTGTTTCACACCAAATGCCCAACAGCATTTGTCAGCTCGTTATTATTTGCAGTTTTCGGTTATGGTATTGACATGTCTCTCGCACGATTTGGTCCGTGAATTTTGTGCAGCCGGAAGTTGTAGCAAAAATAGCGCCCGGATGTACTAAATACGAATAGCACGACTCGAGAATGACAAAAAATTACCATAGAATTATACATATTTGAAAGTCACAATACACGAACTCCCTCCCGTTGTGTATTTATTTCTAACCAAGTACCATAAATAGATGCAGAGGAATATAAGTACTTGAATTAGGACAGAATGAGAAAGCGTGCGTTTACTTAACCACAGACATATACACGCATAAAACACAGATAAGTGACAAAGAAGCAAACTGGGTTTAAGTTCTTATCGCATATCGTTATTGTGATTCCGTTCATATCATAAAAAGAATTAAAGCATTTAGTAGCAGATAAAATCGAAATCCTGTGTCTCTTCTCCAACCTAATGGATTCAAATGAATGAATGAATGTAATGTAATGTGAATGAATGTAATGTTTTTGTTGTTGTTGTAGTGGCAGAACCATTTTTGAAATAATTTGAGTTGACAGTCCCTGGCCGGATAAAAATCCGCGTCCGCTCCGATTACTTAGACCCGACTGTCTTGAGAACGGAATGAATGTAATGTAGTACGAGTTACGATTTATTTCAATGTATTTAGTTTTCTGTGGACTAAATTATATGAATTATACCTATCTGTTCAATTATTTATGGCTTTCACCTTGTTTAAAAAATCAGTAGATAAAGATTTCTTGCTTCGGGCAGCTTTCATATTGCAAAAGTGGGCTACAGCTTAGCAGCTTGATAACGGCGAATGCTCTCTTCAACATAACCTGAATATTTGTTGAGAACTTGCACCACACCACGGCCTACCAGATATCAATATTTCTTCTCTCTAACACATCGCCACATGTTGCACAAGATATAATGGTTTGGTTTACCTAACTGTTTCTTGTAAAACCAAAATTTATTGATGATTTATTTATCAAGATAATTAAAAGGATTAAAAATTTGAAAGTTGTATATGATCAGATTGGAATCATTGCCATGCGACAAATTGGTTCTATTCTGAAATTAAGATATCAAGTTATACACTTCTCATAAACTATCAGGGTAGTGTTAATGAAACCGGGAAATTATAATGTTCTCTTAATGACCTGATTCCATAGTAAAAAGCTTGCGAAAAGACTCTAAAAAAAGTTATATTTTACTACCATAAAAAAACGTGTACTTTTTAAATGCAGTTATCAAGGAACCGGTTTTTTTGTTTGGTATTAATTGAGTATAGTCCAACTGCATTATTTGGTAAGCGAACTTCTTTTGTGCGGTTGTAGTTTTTGAAGAAAAAATGGTGAATAAACAAACATCTCAAGATTTACAGTCTCTGGTAGCCAAATAATGCCAAGAGAACAAAATAAATCACGAAACAGGCAAATAAAAGAAAAAACCTACTAACCTAAAACCTACGAACTTCTGTTCGGAACAAGCTTTGTTTTGGTTTTCGAAAATGGAGTTACTTTGTAACTAATAAAACGAATAAAACGATATTTTTCTCACTGTTGGATTTAACTCAAAAGTTTTAATGGTTTAAGAGATAAGTCACTTCAAAGTCAAAGTATCTCCCTGTACAATTGTTTTTTTTTTTGGTTCACTGTATATCAGAACTGCTTCCGAAAAAGTGAATTTTAATTGAACAAAATTACAATAGCAATAAGATTATAATAAGAATATTTTTACAAACTAAATTCTTTAAATGAAAATGGTTAGGTTATTTTCTCTGCTTTTTTGATGGATGTGAATACGATGGCATTCACCAGCCAAGAGAGCAATGTACGTTATAATCACATGATATCATATTTCATTTTACCAAGAGCAACTCTATTGACTTGAAAAGTAATAACAGCTCATAGTATACCCACTGTATTGAATTATGTTACGGGATACCCACATTATTGTCAGTAATATATAGCTATAGTACATAAGTATTTCAAACGAATTCATGCCATGGGATGTAAAAGTACCCAGCAGTGAGGCGTCAAAGTAGGCAGTAAATATACCTAAAAATTCTAGTCTAAAATCCAACTAGATAATTATACTTGTATAATAATTTTCTAATCATCATTCTTCATTTGAATATTTTATTGAACCATAATCCAAGTGTCAATTGTCTCATACAAGTTCGAAAAACATGCAAAATACGTGCTTATATAGTTTGCATGTTTTTCGATAAGAGACAATTGACATTATGTAGGCCAAGAGACAGATAGGTGACTAGTAAGGCTAGTGTTTCATACTAGTTGTAAAGTATTGTAGTTTATGCTGGTTTGTCTGCTTGGTAGCGTCTGTATTCATACATACATATATATACCAAAATTACCCCGCAATATTGTCTGCATGCCTAGCTTTTACGTCGTTTTGTGGCTTAAAAGTGATGGAAAGCTGTTTCACTTGTGACATCCGATTATTTTCAGCGACTCTACGAAGGAAACAAAAAATGTTGGGGTTGGGCTTTTGATGCGTACTACTTTTTGTAGTGACCGCTGATTCAGCTTGGCGTTGACAAAATGTCATTATTATTCATGCTCCGCGCTTTCTAAAGAAAGTAAAAGGAGTCTAAAAGTGTTAAGTTACCAAAATATGCCAGCGAAGATATCTTGTTTATTTAGTTTGTTGTTTATCAGCACACAGTAAATATATATGAAAGGAAGAAAACCTCTGCAAGGAATACTGATAATGTGCACATAACTTTTTAGCAAATTTTAAGCATTCCTGCTTATGTTTGTAGGGGCGTTGGGCTTTGCATTTTGTGGAAATTTGGTACCCTTTAAACTAAACACATAAGTTATATACAAAAACCACGAGTTTACTATATTTACTATACGAATATTTACAAAATGTTAATAAGTTAAAAATATATTACCCAGAGTAACATTACTACATATATTTTATTATATCACAAAGAAACTTAATTGTTTTGTGCCCAAATTAATAGGCTAGATATATAATTATAGCATGCATTATTGGGTACAATATTAGTAATGAAATTAAATGTTTGCACGCTACATATATTACAACTAGTATGAGTCGCAATTCCAACTAATCAGCCAAGTGGTTTACGGCATATTCATCTAATATTATTAATTCCATTTAGAAATGTATTAAATTTTATATTAGTTTAAAAGAAAAAGCTTAATACTTTATTCCAATCATAAATGAAATCGCAAATCTCGAAAACTTACAAGTTCAAGTACAGCCGTAGAAATTTTCCCCATTATCAAACATTGTACATGAATTCAAAATACGTTATAAGACGAAAATCATTATATACAAGTATACTGTAACACATGGATATATGGATATGGGCTAATGTAAGTATTGTTTTGTTTTGTCTCAAATGCTCAATATTATCTCTGTATTTTAAAAACATACCTCAAAGTTTTACCGATATTTTCGGTAAAGAATTAGCTATATGTACTGAGGTCAATATGTTTGGTATCTTAACAAGATATCGTCGGATTGTTACTATTTTTGCACAAGAGATGGCATACCTTAGGGCACTATTTGCTCAAAATTTTACTACAATAACTTTACTGGTGCCTGATTTACGAGATATTATATATATTTTAGATAAAACTCAAATAAAATTAAAAAAATGTATATATGGCGATAGCTTGCATCAAATGCAAGTTGAAATTAGTCGAGTAATTCCTAGACGTTGAATTTCCATTTTCAACTTTTTATACCGGCTCCTATGAGACGTTTCCACCATCTCGGGTGTGAAACTTAATGTCTCTGACGCATTTACCATATTTATTGAGCTACCTTTATAGAAGTTCTCAACATAATTGTTACATAGGGAGTGGGGGTGGTTAACATCTGGTTTAACCAATTTTTACAGTACATGAAGTAGTGGAAGAATGACTTTCTTTCAGCAAGTTTGGTTGAAATAGCTTAGTAAGTTGTGAGATATGCGAATTAAGCCTAAGGCGGACCACGTCCATTTCTTCTTAATTGTTAGCCCACAGATGCCTCTTTCCTCTTCGATACCTTGTACCAAATAATGGTTTTGTATCTTAATTTTAGGAGAACAAAACAGCTCACTTGATTTTTAATAGAAAAACAAAACACCTAATAAAAAAGTACACCCAATTATGAATACCACAATCACTAGATGACTTATAAGAGGTGTAAGATGAATTCAAAGAGCTAACAATAGAAAACAATATAAATATAACTGCTTATAGTTACAAGTATAAATATATTTTGGAGTATTATAAGAACTTGGTTAAACGATTTGGCTTATAATTTTTCTTTTCGCTATTTTCATTTCAGATCAATTCTAACAATGGCGAGCTGAACTGAATTCATAGGCAAATCAGTCATATTTGAAATTCGGTTGAAACATCCACATGCAAACATGGATTGGACTCGGTGGCTATATACGTTTTTATGGTGCATTTGCAATACTGGGAGCATAATGTGGCTACCCATTTGATTCGCTAATTATTAGACATACCGCACAAATGTGCAGTACAGAGTTGTTCAACGAAGCAGTCGTACAATAGTCAGTCAGTAAAAAATGTTCAATCAGTCAGTAAAACTGAAATAGAATTACTTACATACGAGTATATGTGTGTGAAAGCTGACAGAGGATAAATAATAAATGTTTTCACATTCCACATAATAAAGTATTATCATCTATATACACACTTACGTATATACATATATAAGTACTCGTAGATCACAGTCGTACGAAATCGTCACTATCATTTACATAATCGAACAAGTGCACCTTGTACATACATAGACGAAGTGCGAAACTATACAGTAGTCTCTACAGATCCATAAGATTACATTCGAAGAGCACATCAAAGCACGAACATCTAATATAGCCAATGACACTGTGTTCGTATATTTTGACACCAAATAAGCGAATAGCTCGTATAACGAAAATCTCCATTATAATCAAATCGTGTTTAAGCGAAAGTAAATTCGAACAATACTCATACTGTAGCAATAATTTACACCGTTCTTCCCTATAACTTTTTTATACGAACCGTTACTTACATTTAATTAAAATAGTGAATTACAGTTAAAAGTAAAATAAAGCACATCGCTCAGTTTTCAAACGCATTTATTTATAAATACTCACAAAATTACATTTAAGCGATAAATTAAGCAACTGAAAATTACATTTAAACATCAACGTTTTATTAACCAGTTATCAACGAATTAAACTAATACATAGAAACAAACTTAAGTAGATAAACTCCGAAAGCAAACTCGAAATGATTATCAGAATAGACCAAACAGTTAACTGTTGTACAAAGTAAAATTTGCAACAACGGCATCAACACGCACAATTTGTTTTTGGGGGACGGCATAGCGCTAACACGGACAAAAAAGGAGCAGCAGGAAAAACCGGCCAGAGCAAGCGAGTGTGAGTTGCCAAGGATCTATAAGCGTGATCATAAAAGGTGGAGCATTAGCCGCAGTTGTAGACCTAAAGAACGTAACGAAGAAAAGTAAGTGGAAGGAAACAGAAGTAAGAGAGCAGTTAAGGACCAGCACCTGGAAGAATAACGAGTGACAAAGCAGACAAGTTCCATAGTGAGCCATAGATAAAACACATGTAATTATTGCACATTTTCTTACTATTATATAATTATATATGTAGGGAAATGCATGTACTTACTTATATCCAATAATGATTAGTAGGTACTTGAGGGAAACATAAAATATAAGCCTAATGCATATCGCCTTGATCACTTCTTCATTCTTACTGCCTTTTTCTATTGCCCTTCCTATAATTGTCTTATCTCAAAGTAATTCTACGTAATTAACAATGAGTCTAGCCAGTATTGAAAGCCAGTATTTCCGTCTTTCTATTGGAATTAATGTTCACCTCTCAACTCTGCGGAGTAGTATGTCAACTGATAACTCGGAGGCAACAATCTCTGTTAGAAAACCCCCATAAGACATAACATTTAATATTTAGGGAAACCAAAATCTGTCTCACATGTATTTCTGTAGGAGACATTGGTTACTCAAAACATTTAGGTATATACTTGTAGTTAAAAGTGTTTACTTCACTGTAAATTCGTTTTATCACCTTTCTGTTATTTTGTTTTGCATGTTGATGCTTCCTCAGGATTGAAGCATTTTAAACGATTCTTTACCTTTAAAGACTGATGAATGTTTATACGAAGTTCAGAAATAAATTCAGCAGTTAGTCTACTTCTTCTGAAAACAGATCAGAAAACATATTGCATACGTCATATAGCAAAACAAATGATATTGGGTTGGCAACTAAGTAATTGCGGATTTCACTCATATACTATGTTCGCACCGAATTGAAATCCTCTTGAAAACACAATTTGTGGATTGTGGATCCAAAGTCGTTCTGACCGAGATTGTGTGTTTTGGATGAGTTTTCATTGACAGTTCACATCTATTTGTTTACATTTGTTATGTACCCTACAAGAACAGTGACGGTCATCTGATGGGTAATATGACAGTCATAGCTGAAAAAATTTTGTCAGCGTGCAGAACAAAGTTTCTATCATTTTATTAAGAGGCTTGTTTTCTTTTTGTTTGTTTGTTTTGTTTTTTCTGAGTCATTGCGGACCATAAATTCGTCATAGCTGAAAATTATCAGTTATGACTGAAACGCTATCAGAAGTGAAAAATTATTTTGCGCAGTAGATAATATAATTTTTATTTCTATAATAAATTTCCAATTTTTATCAAAATTAGTTATAATAATATACTTAAATATAAAAAGGAATGCAACAAAAATAAATTAATAAAATATGAATATATAAAAATAAATTTTCACTTGAAGCCATCTCCTCCTCTCAATAGCTCTGCGTACGTCTTTCTCCAATCAGTGGATAGTTCTGAATTTAAAAATGCAAATGTAAATTAACAGTACTGACATATCAAATGTGAGTGTATTGCTGAACCCATCAGCAGTTTCTTGTAGGGTACGTTTAGGCCAATTATGGAATGTAAACAAATTGTCAACTGACATTTAGGGCTGGCAAAATATGGATTCTAATCCATAAGTTTTCAAGGGGTTTTCAGCGAAAACTGTGTTTTCGTTTGACTGATTTTGTATGGATGAAAACACATGTTTTCGCGTGAAAACCTATTTGTCTATGAAAACATGAATTTTGTGTCGGTGCGAACATAGTAATAGATGGCTTCAGTTGAATTTTTAGGTTTGCTGGCGTAGTCCAAATGTAAAACACATTTTGTTATTTGATAGTTGGCGATTCAGCAGTCAATCAATTTTTTTGATCGGTTGCGTAGTTTTCGTTTGGCGTTCGTTGAAAAATGGAAGATCAAAAGGAACATTTTTGTCATATTTTGCTTTTTTATTTTCGCAAAGGGAAAAACGCATCGCAAGCTCACAAAAAGTTATGTGCTGTTTATGGCGACGAAGCCATAAAAGAACGGCATTGTCAAAATTGGTTTGCCAAATTTTGTTCTGGTGATTTTTCACTCAAAGATGAAAAACGCTCTGCTCGTCCAGTTGAAGTTGATGACGACCTAATCAAAGCAATAATCGATTTGGATTGTCACAGTACAACACGTGAGATTGCAGAGAAGCTTCAGGTATCACATACATGCATTGAAAATCAATTAAAACAACTTGGCTATGTTCAAAAACTCGATACATGGGTTCCTCATGAACTGAAAGAAACGGATTTAACGCAACGCATTAACAGCTGCGATTTGCTAAAGAAACGTAATGAAAATAATCCATTTTTAAAACGAATGATAACTGGCGATGAAAAATGGGTTGTTTACAACAATATCGAGCGGAAAAGATCGTGGAGCAGGCCAGGTGAACTAGCTCAAACAACATCAAAAGCTGGTATTCATCAAAAGAAGGTTTTGTTATCAGTTTGGTGGGACTATAAAGGAATTGTCTACTTTGAACTCTTACCACCCAACCGAAGGATCAATTTTGTTGTCTACATTGAACAAATATCGAAATTAAACAATGCAGTTGAAGAAAAGCGGTCCGAATTGATAAATCGAAAGGCGTTTTATTCCATCATGACAATGCAAGGCTACACACATCTTTGGTCACTCGGCAAAAATTATTGGAGCTTGGTTGGGATGTTTTGCCACATCCACCATATAGTCCTGACTTTGCACCATCGGATTACTTTTTGTTTCAATCTTTACAAAACTCCTTGAATGGTAAAAATTTCAATAATGATGATGATGATGTCAAATCGTACCTGATTCAGTTTTTTGCTAATAAAAATCAGAAGTTTTATGAACGTGGGATTATGATGCTGCCAGAAAGATGGCAAAAGGTCATTGATCAAAATGGGCAATACATTACAGAATAAAGTTATTTAGTTCAATGAAAAAATTGTCTTTTTACTTACTTAGTTGCCAACACAATATTTAATTATTACCTTAAAATTCTTAGAAATTAATATATAACGTTAGATCTCAGGTATAAATAGAAATATTTTCATATATATCATATTTCTCCACTGATAATATAGAAAAATATAATTTGAGTAAACATCATAAAATTAAAAGGAAAAGTATTAGAAATGTATCTATGCCTAATTGAAATCAGTAATAAGGGACTATTTGATTTATACATACATAAATAGTACATATATACGTGCATGTGAGTACTTTCATAGAAATTTAGCTAGTCTGCACACATTTTCATTAAAAATGTACGCTAAGTGTTGACAACTCAGCAAAAAACCAAATCTTTCTAAAGAGTTGGGAAGGCAAATGTTGCGTGACATAAGAGTTTCATTGTGAAAATAGCAGATAAATATCATAATTGGTCGTAATGATCGCGTTCGTGTAAATGGTAAACAAAACGTTATTACAACATTGCAAAATTTTGTTGTCGCCACCCCACTTGATGGCGTTACTGAGAAAGCTTCCGTGGGGTCAATTAATAGAACACTAATTACTTTCATATGCTTCATATGAAAGTATGTCTACACACGCGCTGGTGTGCGTGCGTGCATTTTAAGTGGCAATTTTATTTGTAGTAACACGTTGGGTCTGTAACCTCCTGCCGAATAACATGAGTCGAACAATCTATCCTACCGGCAGACCTAAAGATTAAAAATTTGTGTAACACTTAAGGGACACGCAAGCTCACGTGACATATTGAGTATAGGTGTCTCAACACTAAACTGTGCTTATATTAAAAAACTAACAACTTGATTTGCGTTAAATAAGCTTTGCAATTTGATATTTTAATATACGTGCATACATATTTACTTGCTAACTACAAAGCTCAAACTTGCAATACGCTAACTTTAATTGAATTTACTTATTCAAACACGAATATAAATGTATAAACCGGAACCCCTTACCCGCCGCGGTAGTTTGAGATCCCTTCGTAGCGCACCACTGCTTAGCACCGTTTTAGAGAGCACTCTCTCACTGACACGCATCCATCCGATAACCTCCCTCGAATTACCTGGACTCGATTATGCAATTGAAACACAAAGTGCTATAGCCGTTCATCATCGTGAACTAGGAACATCGTTACGTAGTGGTATTGCTAACGTTGGACAACACACTGTTGGACGTTTTGGTCGGAGCGCGTCAATACGCCAACAACAGGGTGAATACAAGCGTGTTATACCAGCAAAACGGTAGGTATAAATACCATCTCACTACCAGCTAAAGCTTGGTAATAACCTCATAAAATTAAATAATATTGGTTCATCACAATTAGTTTTTTTTACATTTGTAATATGAAGGAGGCAATTCCCGAAAAGTTTCTTTCCAAATTATGTAGGTACGAACATATACCCATTTATTCGAATATATATATTACAAGTTAACCAGATGAGGCAGAATGAGTATTTTCGATATATAGGCGATAAACATCATATTCCTTACAAGATAAGATAAGCTAATTTCAATTTGAGTTTCTAGAATAGTTGGCAATACTATAATTACTCCGAATATTTTGTTAATAGTAAAAGTATTTTACTTTGGCAAAAATAAAATTTCTACTGATAAGGATAATTTCTTTTTCCAGCAAAATACGATCATATATCAACCTAAATTTGTTAGTTATGCATATTTCCTCATTATATGAATCAAGACATGTTTACATATTATTAAACAATTCTCAAATTCTCAATTTTTTTTTCAATTCTTTGAGATAAAATTATTTTACCTATATTTGAAGCAGTGTTGTCACATATCAGAAGTACTATAGGTTCCACACATTAGTTAATGCTTGAAATGTCTATTGTAAAGGCAAGAAACAATAATACCAAATGTATATAGAACTATACAAATTTTATGTAGACTGGTAAAATATATCGCCCTTTCCTTTTTACACTTTTATCAAGTTGTCAAGTCTTATCAAGGACATGTTTCAAGCAAATAAATATCATCTCATGAAAAAATGACAGTTAATGAGCGTTAATCAAAAGTCATCCTATGGTACAAAATATAAAATATACTTATTAAATCATTATAAATGGCGTCAGAAAAAAAGCAAATATAATCGAAAGCTTGAAATTTGTTGTTCCTGATAGAATTTCTGCGGGATGTGGCTGCATTCATTCATTTCACTAAAGCCGCTCACTTAATCTGTGCTAGAACTAGTCT